TTCACCATCGACGCCGGCGATATTCGACTTATCTACTGCCCTACCGACGATCAAACGGCTGACATCCTGACGAAGGCGCTCCCCTCCGTCAAGGTCAAACATTTTGCTGCCGCCCTTGGTCTCGCACCTGCTTGAGGGGGAGTGTTGGAGTGCGTACGGCGAGGCAAGCGTGGTGCGAGCCTCGGCCGTGTTTCGGGCGGACAAGTCTTGTCGCGCCGTTGACGCGCCTTGTCCCGCCTTGTCCCGCCTTGGCGGATTCACCCCGTTTTGTTTACGAATGCCACGTCTCACTCATCTTGTAGTATGGACGTCTTGTTACAAATGTGTACTTAACTCTTTCGATTCACGTTGGCTCACCTCAGTCCCGCGTATAACGCGTGCTGAGGTGAGCATATGCTTGTTACTTATTCTACGTACTCATACTGATTAATACGCTGTAGTTACATTGCTATAGGTATTACAATATACTAGTCCCGCGTATAACGCGTGCTGAGTTACATTGCTATATTAATACAGGCTACACACTTCATTATGCAAGGAGTGAAAGTGCAGCTAACGTCCGTGTGGCCGCTACGTGCACGTGTGGAATGGGTTCGCACCTGTGTCTCCTGATGGTGGTTACTTACAGCGATAGGCGGGCGTTCCAAGCGCCCGCTGGCGTAATCGCCGAAAAGCGAATCCAGCGTACAGGCGCTCGTTCTTTGACTTTTTCCCCTCCAGTGATTTCGCCCCATCAATTCGTTGTGAGCAGCCAGTTGAGTAGATCGACTGCTCCTACGATATGTTGGTGATGCTTTGGTGTATATCGAGATCAGACACCGCTCGATATTGCCAGGATGGTCCTCTAAGACGGCGGCGACTCAACAACCAGGTACACGTAGGCAGCCGTAGGTGTTTGATGGTTGCGGCCTTCTTCGGCGACACTGCAGCCTTCATTCGAGACTCGAGCTCTATGCCCCCTACAGCCCCTGCGGATTTAGGGATCGCTTACCACTGCTTGGAATGCCGAGCAAAGAGAGGGATACATCTCAAAGATAATCAGGTAACGGACCAGACGCCCGCTTGCTTCCATACTGATTATGAGCCTCATCAGAAATAGAAGTTATGAAGAGGAAAGCGGGGGGGATCGACCGTGGGTGCAACTACTGGGACAGGGCGCACGGTGGTCTTAAGTACGTCAGTGACTTGAGCGCGAACACTAACTGGCAGCGAAGCAGTGCGGCAACGTTTCTCAAGGTAGTTGAGGGCTTGGTCTGGGCAAGGCTGGATTCAGCCCATTCCTCAGAGACTGCACGGTAGGTCAAACGCTCATTTCTCAATCACTTGCAAGTGACATCTTTCGTGCGTCAGAGGCCACTTGTCAGTCACGTTTGACATCATTGGAAGGCGGATGATTAGATTTTGCCTCTTCGAAGCGGGGACTTGACTTGAAGCGCGGCGCCTTTGAGGATGTATACTGTCAAGGTCACAAGTCAGAGACCCCGAGAAAGATCCGGCGGCAGAAGGCGTATGTACTAGGATGATAGTACTGCAGACTATTCAACGTAACCATCACAGCTCTACAAGGCACACACCGGGGACATCGACCGGTGGCACATTGTATCCCATCGTAAATCCACCGTAAACAGAGCCACTGCAGGATCATTACCTATTTCGGCGTCCCATTGCAATCTCCAACGGAAGGTTCGATAAAAACATGTCATAAGCTAATTGCATTCATTGCGCAGGGTGCGGCAAACGTGGAATAAATGTGGGACGCGGAGAGACATGATTGTCTCAACGTGGCTCAGGTCACGATGCCCCTACGATGGGACATGTCGTCTTATAGTACAATGCCCCCGGTGACAGTGAAGGTCAGAACTACACCTTGTACACTCTTCGCCGGTCAGCAATCGGATCTTTGATTTTCTTAGTACTTCTCGAGTCAACCGACTAACGTTCCGTGAAGCCGGTATATGACAGATAAGGCACCTTGAACAAGATTGCGGTCCGCTGACACCACCAACGGGGTCAATGCAGAAAGGAAGTACTGCTGAACCGACAATATGTGGCGGTTACGGGTCACAAAACGGCGCTACACGGGACATGAGTATTATGGCCCCCCCTCGCTCTTCGAGACACCGCGTATAAAGGCTGAAAGGTCTGTCCTCAGTTTTCCTCCACATTCCAAGCAATCTCGGCTTGGTTCACTCAGATCTACCAGCTCTAGACATCTACTATGCAGCTCTCGCTCAAGTCCGCTCCCCTTGTACTCGCTGTGCTCGCCCTGACGAGCGGCGCAAAGGCAACACCCGTCGCTGCCGTGAGTAGCATCCTCTGAGTCATCGGTCGTTTTGCATTGATCGCTGATGTATATTCCTAGGATGTCAACGTCGCTTCCGATGGGGTGAATCCAGCAGCGTACCTCGTGTCCCACGAGCAGATGATGTACTGGATCGCCAACACCGACGCCGAGCTCACCTTCGTCGGCAAGCCGATCAATCCACTCACCCCTCGCTCAGCACAAAACACCATGGTCACCTACTGTAGTGGCCGCGTGGACAACGTCTGTGGCGGTTCATGCACCGTGTACAATGGCGGAGCGACGTGCCTCAGTGCACCTGGCACGAACTGCCTGTCGGCCACGAACAATGTCGGGTTCTGCGACCGCAGTGGTTGTAGCGGTAGCTGCAACCAGCTGGCTTCTTGCGGCACACGCCTCGACAATGGGTTCTGCGCCACCCCCGGAACCGCTTCCATTCTGGTTTCTTCTGCTTGACCATGTTGTAGGGGCACGGGCGCAAGGACGGGAGACCAGAGAAGCGACGCGAGCACGAGAGTGTGAGGGAAGCGTTGGTGTTAATAGTACAGGTCGAGTCTCACGAGGATAAAAAGAAAGAACATGAGGATACATAGTCCAGGCGAGGAGTGGTTGGAGGAGTTTGTCCAATTGCGAAGTCGGCGGGGGCGAGAGGGTCGAGAACATGTATGTAAACTTAGGACAACTACGAAACAGTGCCATTCTAAGAGTGTCTCCGTGTTGATACCCTGGATTTCATGACCGCGGCGACATTCGCCTGCAAATGGCGTCTGAGGCAGTGAGCGGTGAGGGGTAACGGCGGTCAGTGTATCTATGGCCACGTCGGTGAGGGAGGCGCTCCTTTGTGGAGAGAGTACGTGCCACTGAAAAAACTGAAACTTTGCCGCTATTAGTCTAAGCGCAGCTCAGGACGTTATGAGTAGGAAGGGTATGTTTTTGGTTATCATTGAGTTCGATGTTATACATCACGTGCCTTACTCGACCATCACCCAACACCGGTTCTTATGCCCGCTTCTCCACGCCTTGAGCTGGCACTCCTTCCCACAGAACCTCACCGCCTTGCACTGGGAACACAGCATCCCCGGGTCTTCGTCCATGCACGCGAGACACTCCTCTTGGCCATGAATTTGGCCTTTCAAGAAGTCATTCGTCGACTGGAGGTAGTAGCCACCGGGCATGTACTCGATGGAAATGAGAATACCCTTGAGTCGCTCGAGCTTGATAAGCTGCGACTCGGGGAGGCGGTCAATACCAGGCTGCGCGAGGATATCTGCGACGCGGGCCGCAAGCGCGTCGCGCGTGGCCTTGTCGATGGACGCCTTGTTGTCGTCGCCGAAGCTCGTGTCGCACCAGAAGAGGAAGTGGATGAGCAGCGTACAGATGTGTCCTGGTCCCGAAGGGCGCAGCCAGTCGATACCCTGCACGAAGTTGGATGCGACCAGGTTCGGGAGGCCAGCGGCATTGGGGGACTGGAGGAACTTGCCAAGGTAAGGATTGTCGGTAGGATCAGGGAGTAGGGAGAGTATTTGGATATAGGTCGATATAGCTTTCCGTTGCGTCTCCCGCTTTAGTGGGCGCAGGGAGCTGTCCAGCCTCGTGAGATACTTGGCGGAGAAGGCGAGGCATATACAGTCTAGCTCCGGAGAAGGCAGGATAGCAAGAGCATTCAACTAGCGGGAGATGAGTCTGGGAAGGAGGCAAGTCAAGGTCTCAAGACGTTACCAGGGTCTGCAGCTCTTTTGATTCCTCTTCCGAGAAATCGGTGTCGGGAGGGAGAGGGTTGTTAAGCCGAGCATTCCTACACAGTTTATCGGCCATGCCTTCGATCTCCGCCCGAGGCACCTGAGGTCGCCATGCGCTCGACATATTGTTGAGAGGGTCAGAGCTCCTAGTAGTCTTGGTGCGCGTGATACAAGTCTGCTCCTGATGAAAAACGCCTGGCACGTGGAGGCCACGCGAACTGAAACCCTAGTGACTCTCGGTCTCGAGCTAGACTTGTACAAGTACTGGTGTGTTCTTACAAGGTTGGTTTACATCATCCAGACGCGAATCGTACATTTTATAGAGATCATGCAGCATTCCCACGAGCCTTCAGTCCGTTCCTGATAGCTACGCACGACATGTAGTCGATCTTCGCCTCTGTGTGCAGAGAGTCCATGAGGACTTTGAGACCCTCATCCTTCCATCGTGCCGCCATGTTCAAGCGCTCCTCATTCATTATGCCAAACGCATGCAGCTTCTCCGCAAGCCTCACAGGCAAGCCAATCTGGTCCAGGAAACGCTCGACGGCATCGTCCTGCACGTCGCGCACCCGAGCATTCTGTCGCATCTGAGCCATCGCAGGCGCCGCGGCAGCGTGAGATCGCCCCGCAGGGAGACGGGGAGACGGCTTTCGGAGCTGCCGGGGCGGTCTTGCTTGCGGTCGTTGTGCGGCATCCTTGGACGGGGGTACGATGCCGAGTGCGAGCAGGTGCGGGCGTCCATTGAGGTGCCTCCGCAGGTAATTGAGATGCTCCGTGGGGCCGACGCAGATCACCTGATGAATGGGCGGTCTTATACGTCGCCAACTCTTACACGGAAGGTGATGAGTCGAGCATACCTTGGACTCCTTCCTGGTGGAGCATGTCAGACATTTGATAGTCCAGACGTCTCCGTCGACGGAGTAGTGGTAAAGTAGCTCGAGCTTTGCGCTCGGATTTAGCCTCTGGATCTGTGTGAGTTGCGTTGCGAGCCATTTAGGGGTCTGTTTGGCGTCGGTCTGATCTCAGCTAGCGCTATGGTCAGGCCCCTTTGTGAAGAGACACCTACATCCGGCTGTAACCGTTCCACCGAACCTCTCTCCAAGCCTGGCGATGCTGTGATCATGACACTTAGCCTCACTGAACTACGATTGACCAGGGGTCACGATAGCACCTGAAGACTTGTGCGCCTCCTCCTGCTTGGACTCTGCAGGCTTTGATGGACGCCCGGGTTTACTGCTGGGCTTGGAGCTATCTTTGACGTCGTCCTCCGAGTCGGATGAGATGTAGATGTAATTTGGCGCGCGGACATCCACTGCGAGCGATCTGTGGTGAGATCGGGCATTCAATCTGCACAACGACCACATACCTCTGGCCTTCTTCCCGCGTAGCTGATCTGACTGACGGGCAGCGTCGTCGGCCTCCTCGACTTCCGCCGCCCTGCGTTTGCCTTCCGCCACGCTCATTGGAGTAGGGTAGGGCATAACCTCCTCCTCCTCCTCCTCCTCCTCTGCTCGCGCAGCTTGAGGATCGTGAGCTTTCTCGTTCTTGCCCTCATCGTGCGCGGCGTGTTCGGGCAGTATCTCTTTGCTATCCTCGTCTTCATCAGTGCTGCCCATGTGATAGGTCACACCAATCGCGGGTGTGATTCTGAATGTGGATGTATTATCCATGACGATCGCCGCTGCAAGTACTCGGCGCTTGGTTAGAGTGTCTGCAGATAGACCAGGAAGATCAACCCACCCCCGCCCAAGCTGGCAACTACACAATGCAGTTCGCTGCCTACGATAGCGGTCGAGTCTGAGACATCGAATCAGCGTGGGCAGACGATGCTTTTGGGACGATGCTCTGGGCCTCCGCTGCACGCCGAAGGCGCATGCCACGTTCCAAATACAGAACACCTCTATCGGATCGGTCCCCTTCTGCCGACATCGCACTTCTGCGAATCCATCTAGTCCCCACCAGTACCAAGCAACCTTCATGCGATCGAAAAGCTGCTTAGTTCGAGTTACAGCTATAGGGCAAGAAAGCTTTGCTGGCTGGGATTCTTAGCCGTTCGTGGAACCGTCTCCCACTAGCGTCTTTTGAGGCGCATGCCTAACGCATGGCCTAGAGAGTCCCGCAGAATACTACGGACAATACATTCATGTCCGTCTACACAGTCTGTTTGTCGTCACAACCTTGGCTGACAGAGAGGAGCCTATTGGCAACGTGATTGTGGCTAGCAACATGCGCAGCGGCCGCTTTGGCCTTTGGTCACGGTGGCCAATGCGTCCATTTGTGGTCCGATCACGAGAGCGGATATAAAACGGGACTGCGACCCTTCACCACCTCCCACTGACGCACCCAGATACTCTTGCAGACCTACTCACCATGCCTCCTCAGCGCAGCAAGGTACGCCTCTCTCTCTCGCACGTCGCCATCCCTGGATTCTCGCTGGATGCTCACTTCCGCCACCACAGCTCCGTCGCACTGCGACCCTCACCGGATCGTTCTACGACAAGTCAGGGGCGATCGGGGAGAGCGCCCTTCCCTCCCCAACCACCACTGGTTTCCGCGACCGTGACCGCGACGCGGACATGATGAGCGAGACCACGAGCACCAGGGGCGGCGACGACTCGGACGACGAGTACTGTCTGACGGGCTATGGCGAGATGTCGACCGACGAGCCGTTCACGCTCCCGCCGTCGCCCACGCAGACGATCAAGTACCGCTACCGCGCGTACCGGCCCAAGCTTGCGCGGATCAGCAAGAAGTACCGCGCCGCTGCCAACGGGGGCACTGGCAAGACCAAGTCAAGCGCGTACCACAAGTCGGTGCGTGTCCCATTCGTGCTCGGTCCCCCGCTCTCGAGCTCGAGGCGGTTGGGCGCAAGGCGAGCGGCTGACGCGTGTCTTGCTCCAGGACTACTCGTCCGCCCTCAGTCCGTACCTGGACGCACTGGCCGGTCGCTCGCCCAAGCGCGACTTCCAGGCGCTCCTCCAGAAGTACCGCGACTCCGCCGAGGGCTGGCGCGACAGCGACACCTTCAGCTCGCCGCGCAAGATGTACTCTTCTGACAAGGCATGGTCGCCTGCCAGCACACCGTCCAAGACACCTGCGAGCACCCCTCTGCGTCGCGAGGGCTCGCGCCTCGGGCGCGCCGCCTTTTAGGATCGGAAGTCGGGTTATTGCCATCGACAATGTGGAAGCTTGAAGCATGAAGAGTGAAGAATTTGGGTGTGTCAAGAGTCGAGGTTATCATCGAGGTTGAAGGAGCGGCCGGAACGCTTTGGGGCCGTTTCGGTCCTAGAACACTCTACACTCGTTATGTGAGATTTGTTATTGTGTATCCATACCTCGTTCAAGGTATGGTTGTATCTGTACTGTTGTCTGTCAATAGCAAGCCCATCCTATGCAGCACGTACGGCATGAAGCGACGCTGATATTCGGACAGCATATGGGGGTACAAGGCCCGAATCTAGACCATCCTGCCCCAAACTCCTCCAGCCTCAGGGCACCGAAGGCTTTCGGGGCCTCGGTATGCTTTCACCCAGGAGCCCCTACAGCGATCGAGTAGGCCAAGGACACCACGGCCGTAAAGGGAAGCCTATCTCGCGCGGCGGGGAGTACCGATTGTGGTCGACAGGAGATGTCCTTTGAAAGCGAGCGCACTTCATTCGCGCGATGATATCTGTGACAACGTTGGACGAGATTCATAACGTCAAGTCGAGATGTACTCACCAGCAGATCAGGCTCTCATCCGTCACCGCCCCATGCTCTCGAGCCAGTCGTCCCACTCCTTCAGCACGCCCGTGAGATCCTCCCCAAGAGCGGCACCCTCCTCGTCCATCTTCACGCCATACACACCCTCTAACAACGCCCTCCGGATGAATGGCACGAACACCTTCACGTACACCACCCCCGCCGCGCGGACCGCGTCTTCTTCACGCTTCGCATCCTCGGCGTTGGATGTTCCATTCGTGCGTTCGTCCGAAGCGGAGCGCGCAAGAACGAGGAGTACGATAGCCCCATGTGCGAGTGATCGTTCGAGCGCAACGAGGAGTTCGGAGAGGAGGCTCGCCGGCGCAAGTAAACGGAGGCCGTTGAGAGCCGTCAAGAGAGCATTCGTGTAGAGCGCGAGTGGCGGATAGGAAGTGAGGATCGCCGGGGGCGTGTTTGCTGCTGCAGACCTGAGCCCAGAGAGCTGCGCGTCTGTAGGTATGGGAGGAGTAGAGGCTGCCGCAGGAGCGAGGAGGAACTGTGAGGGCTTCCTCCGCGCCGATGCGCCCGTTCGAGAACGCGCCTTGGAGGTGTCTTCGGGATCGATAGCTCTGGACCACGCGTCCGTCGCCTCTTCGAACTCGCGCGTTACTCCCTTCCGCACGGCGATCGTGAAGAGAGGTGCGAGTGCGCTTCGGAAATCCAGACCGACGCGCGCGAACGAGGTCGCGCAATAGGTCAGCTGGGTGAGAAGGGAGGTGAGAAGGGAAGGGTCCGCGACGAGTGGAAGGGTCTCGCGCAAGAGGTCGAGAAGTCGACGGACATGAAGCGTGGTGAATGTCGTAAGTAGAATGTGAAGTTCAGGGGGCGCGGGCTCTGCGCCCTTCGGAGGGTCGAGGAAGATGGTGGTGTACTGGGTGACAACGTCGTGCACCCCCTCGCGCCACGCATCTACATACCTCTTGAGGTAACGCGCCTGGCTCTCTCGTTCCCACTCGACGCTGCTCTCCCCGTCCATGCCCTTCTTCTCCACCTCCACGGCGCGCAGGGTGGTCTCGAGGTAGGAGCTCCTGCCCGAAAGAAACGCCAGCGCGAGTTCTCGTTCTGAGAGGACGTCCATTTTCCGCAGGAAACCGATCGCGCGGAAGAGGGCAGGAAGTTTCGCCTGCTCATGTAGTACGCGGAGGAGTTGCGCAAGCATCGAGTGGACGCGCGCGTCACAATCCGCCTTCACAGACTGGACGAGCGGATTAGATGGGAAGCGGGCGGCGAGGGTGTAAGCGTGTTGGGCTAGGAGGAGGGCGTCGGCGTAGTTGTGATTTCGGACGGACGTCTCGAGGAGCATGGGGATAGAGAGGACATCGTGCAGCCTGTCGTGATGTTCGAGGACGAGGGCTGCATTCCGGCGAGCAGATAGGAGGGTGCGCGAGTCCTGGGCGAATGCGCGCGCACTGGACTCGAGGTTGGGAAGGGTGGACAGCAAGGACGAGAGAGAGGAGGAAAGCGAGTCGAGCGAGGAGGAGAGCGTGGAGGTTGTGGAGTGCAGCGAGAGAAAGGTAGGGTACGACGTGTAGCATAGTGTCGTGAGGGCGTTCGTGAGCTGTGCGGAGGATGAAGCGAGTTCTGTTGGCTCTGCCTCGAGCTCTGGCAGCGAGAGGGATGTGAGGTGGGCGATGTATGGAGCGGCTTCGGCAGAAGACAACGAGGCGGAGAGGGTCTCTTGGGACGAAGAGGCTAGGATGTCGGGGAGGGTTTGCAACTCGCCATCTTGTACATTGTCCGTCATGATGTCGCGCTCGGGAGGTTGGCACGAGCCTCGAGTCGGTCACTGCTAGGTGGGACGGTGAAGAGGATGGCCTGGCAGACGCGCTCGCCGGCGCGAACGCTCACAGCGCCAGTTGCTTGCTCTTGACCACCAGTCAGTACTGTAGTCTGTCGGGCTCTCTCACATCAATTGCCGTACCACTCTCCGCAGTGTCGTTCCCTAGTGAACCCGGACTCACTCCGTGTGCTCGGCCTGCGTACTGCCTCATACTTCTGGCACAAAATGTCCCCGCCTCCCAGAGGCTTCGACGATCCATCGGAAGTTAAAAGTCTCTCAGGCAGCGCGCCGCCTGACGGAGGCCACCCATCCTTGGAAGAGGCCCGCTCGAAAGTCAGAGATATCACAGCTGACCATACATCCAGCGCGTCCTCTGTGTCCGTTCGTGAGTGCTTACAATGGGCCCCATATTCTCATGCATATTTGTAGCCGTCTCATCCTATCCATAGCACCTCTGCGCTTCATTGATATGAGAGCGCTTCGTAGAAAGCGTGGTTCTGCGACCCTTCGTCACGACGATGTCATAACCTCATCGACAACGCAAGACGAGCCGTCTCCGTCGAAGCGCAAGCGGACGCACGTGTCTCCACAAGTCCTCGTCCCAGAGCCTGTGAAATCTGAAGTTGAGAGTGTTCTAGCGGTCCGCTTTCCTGTTTCCAATATTGTCCGTCCGTCTTGCGTAACTGCAAAGAAGGAGCCAAATGAAAGTATCGGTACAGCAGACGGCAACAACGTCGTTCGACAGGTAGGTTCCCATTGCCGTGCCGTTCGTGTGTGGATGCTCATGATCCCTGCCAAGTTATCCACTCCCGACGGCAAGCAGGGAGCGCAGAAGATGCGCCAAGGTAGCGCGGTCGACTTCTACACCTCAGATGGGATGATCCAAGTGAGAAATGGGTTTTTATAAGACATCGGTTTCCGCTGACCCCCGTATCACAGTTGAGCGACACAGACGAGAAGTATGACGTTTGGTCAGCAGACCTCCCTATGAAACTGGAAGATGTGCAATCAGCCACTGCCCCCTCAGCTACGCAGAATACTCTCGAGTTGCAGAGATCCCCCGCTCACCATACTAGTCCTTTGCCACCACCACCACCACCACCATCACCTGGCGCGCATCCCGACTCCCTCTCTGTCATGCAGCTAGCCACTGCGTATTCCCACCCTGCTCCTACTTGGACGGTGGAGAAGATGCGGGAAGAATGTCCTTCGCCAGCCAGTGAGGCGGAAGTAGATGAGCTGATGGACGACGATGCTGTTGTCATCGAAGCTGCGTCACAACCGGCTTGCACTTCGGGTTCGGGCCAAGACAGGACCCCAGTAATTGATCCCATCGCGCGTCCAGCGGCCGCCATCCTTCGTGCGCTTGGGCCGCCGACAGGCGCATATGCATACGACAGGGATACTCAAGCCACGCAAACGCCGACTCTTCCTCCCGAGCCAGAGGCTTCCCCGTCGGAAGATATTGTGCACGTTGAGGAACATACCGACCGTCAGCCGCAGGGGATTCACCAAACTCAGGTTGCTGACGATGCAACCCACGACGACGAACAGCCCCCTCTGGTTCCACGACCGATCGCGCACGCAGAAGAAGCTGCGCCTCCCGCAGACCCTGTCGTTGGTTTCCTCCAAGAAATCGGGCTCTCCCCGTCTTTCGCGGACGCTCTGCGTCGCATCGGTATCAGTGACGACGAACGCATTAGAGCCGTTGGCGCCCTCAAGGGGCCATCAATGATTAGGATCGAGAAGAGCTTGGAAGAGGCACAGTTCGACCTCGTTGCACGAGTACTCATCCGCGAGGGCCTGAAGCAGCGTTCCGCGCGGGGCGGCAAGTGAAGAGCATAGACATTGCTTGTGAGGTCATGTCGGTGCGTTGAGTCCTGTCGTAATCACACGAGGTTATTGAGGTTAAAGTTAGAGACTTCGGCCTTTGAACTTCGGCAGTCGTTCAATGAGACGCGTTCAACCTCTGCTCGCAGTCGATTGAATGTCAGAGTTCGATTTTAAAGTCCCATTCGGACGATGCGAGGAAACGGAGTAGCGGTGATGGACACAGCCACGTCCTCTATCGTCCTCTATCATTCTCTATCAGCCTTCCTTGAGCTGAGGGCTGACGTTGCCGGCCATGCCTCTCGCTCTCGTCGCCCATCCACCGCTTGTCTTGGGCTACTACGCTATCCTTGTCTTCTCAACCAAGCTCACGGAAACCTACCTTCCGGTTACCAGCTTAGACACGCGTGAGTGTTCATCCCATATACTTGAGCACTAGGCAGTTCGAGGCCCGCCCATCTGACAGCTTTTGGTAGGGAGCGTTGAGCGCAGGACAGGGCATCGCGACGTGTAAGCAGTCCTGGACAGCCAAAGGGGTGCAGTATGCCAAATCAAAACCGATCACCACAACACGGAGACCCCCGTCTGCTCGTTTGCGCGGCATCCCAGCGCCACGTAAGTCGCGTTCGCTTCTGATGATCATCCTCAGACACCTGTCGTCAAGTCTTACATACGTGAGATAGACATCAGGACGTCGTTATCTCCTGACTCCATCCTCCGAAGGCGCGCGAGGGCTCGGCGCCGTCGCACGACTGCCAGCGATATCATCGACATATCTTCCGACTCTGATTTAGAAGCACTTCCACCCCCTTTCCTTCGACGCCGTTCTCGTGAAATTATTGACCTGACTCATCTTCCGTCAACACCGCCGCCCGACCCCCAGCCCCGACGTATGCTCGACGTTGACGATAACGTAGCTCCTCACAGTCGGCGGTCCACGCCTCCACGTCAGACATTCCCAGCTCAATCCGCCAGCGTAAGTCTGCTATTATCATCTGTATTCCACTAGTCGTCCCTGACATCAACATCCCTCAAGCGACCGACGTGGCTTCGAGCCGCGCTTGGAGAGCTTCACTCTGCCTATGACGGCGTGAGATTAGTTCGCCTCTTTTCGGAGATTGGGGCTAATCCACATATGCCATCAAGCTGGCTTATGAAGTGCCAGGAATGTGGAGACGACAAGGTTTGTAGGTTTCCCAAGTGAATAATTTCCTTTCTCCTCAATGCACTCCTGATCCGCGGTTCGCCCCTTCTGTGTAGACGATGATCATCCCCGCGGGTCCGGGCCGCACGCTTGAGAGCTTCGTTCAGCATATCGTTACCGTGCATCCTCGGTCACTGAAGAGCTTGTCTTGTTTCAACTGGCTTCTGACAATTTATGTATGTCCGGTGAGTGGCGTTGTTGGACAATGAAATGTTTCATCACGAATATTGGTGTATGGTGTATAAGCGATCGCGCCTGGCCATGTTTCAAATGCTAGTGGCGCTCAGCGACATATTGCCTGCGCACGCCTTGCTATCTTTTCTCTGCTCAGACTCATACCTGTCCTGTGACCGAGAACTTTACGTCAGTCAGGGATCCCATCAGTGCTGCTTCGGAAGACAACGTCCGAGCACGACATATCAACGACCAGCGTGTGTATGTTCCGTCTGAGGTCCGCAAGCCCTGGTTGTTGTCATCATATCGCGTCTGCAAGGGGCCCGATACAGTAGGATGTGGCAGCTAGCTATTGAGCGCTGTATGAACGTATGACGACATTGAGCTAAGTAGAAACTCACGATCGGAATCGGACCCAGTCGGTACCGCGATAATAGCCGATCACTGCTGTGATGTCAAAATCTGGCTCTCGTGGGATCTTCGATCGTTGACGATCTCATCCATTGCAGCCGTGATGTCATACATGAGTGTGGCACACAGGTATCCAGAGGCCACGGTACCGACGACGATCACAAGCCCAAGTAGCATAACTTCGCTTCGAAGGATGGTCGAAACTCCTTCGGTGAGCATCCTGCTACATATTTCTCTCCCGGAGATCCGTTCTCAAATTCTCAAAGCGCCAGGATCGTGAGAGCGGGCCTATTCCTGCCCATTTCTGATGAACGCCGAGCCGGCGGCAAAGTATATTCGCGAACCCCGCCCCCGCAACATGTGTCAGCTGTGGAGAACAAGGGAGAACAGCGGTCGCCTATGTGCGGGGCGCCTTGGGGAATATTGATCCCGCGATGGGCGAATGGCCATGGGACCTCTGCCCAACACGCAGAGTTACGACATACGCTGGCCATTTCACTTCCCCCACCCCGGACCGTCTTGGTGCTGGTGCACGGTCCGCTGGACGCGTCCGCGCTGCGCGACGATCCCCAGAGATGCCATAGTTTTCCCGCGGATTCGGGGGACAAAAGGATAGGGCTCCCATGGTGTTATAAGCGAGTGCAATTCGAGATTGAGTTCGTGAGCTCCCCCCCCTCTCCCCTTCCCCGCCGTATAAGCTTCACGAGGCCCTATCGGCGTTCCGTAACGATGGGTATCCCAACGAACCACAAAGCCATTATGCTCGCGACATTTGTCGCGTTTGGTACGCTGCGTCCAGTTCGACGGTTGTAGAACTCGTGGTCTGACATTGGCACCCTCGTAGGAGGTGAGCATATCAATGTATCCGGGAGGGTAGAGGTCAGAAATTGTGAGTATGCTCCTTTTGGTACAGCATCACACGGCCCTTACTGAAAGATTGCCATTAGAACGATACAATCGCAGGCTTCCTGTTTGGATATGACATTGGTGTCATATCAGTGAGTCATCGCTTGCGCAGTTCTGTTTTCAAGTTGTTGACGCAGCGTCAAAAGGGTTGCCTGATCATGGAAGACTTTGTCGCGCGGTTCGGACAACAGCACGCCGACGGAACCTTCTTTTTATCAGCTTCAAGGCAATCTATCATAACGTCGCTGCTCTCTGCTGGGTACGTTTCTCCTTCAATCTCACTTACATCGTTCAGGCTTCCCTACCGTACCGCTTCGGTACCAATGCATGTCTGACACTATCGCGTTATAGCACTTTCGTCGGCGCGCTTGCACAGGCTTTGACCTCGGATCGGTTTGGTCGCCGAGGTTCTATCCTCATCTGGTCTGGAATCTTCACCATTGGAACTGCCATTCAGACGGCGACTATTCACTCCATCGTTCAAATCACTATCGGTCGGTTCATAGCGGGGTTGGGTGTTGGCGCCTTGTCCGGTAAGTATGATACTCAAACTAGGTGATGCCGCGCCGCTCATGACTCGAAAGCGATCGTCCCCCTGTACAATGGCGAGACGGCGCCGAAGGCCATGCGTGGGATGCTTCTCGTACTATACCAGCTGCAAATCATCATTGGGTGAGTGTTATAACTCTCTGACAACTTTGCGTTGCGTGATCTCTGACTCCACCGTCCGTAGCATTTTCCTCAGCTACATTATCGATCTCGGAACGCACTTCATTCACGGTCCTGCATCTTGGCGTATACCTGTTGGCCTTCAGTTGGTCTGGGGTGCAATTCTGCTGTCGGGCATTTTCTTCCTTCCGGAGTCCCCGTACGTGTTCTGCCAACGTGCCTCTCGAATCCGGTTGCTTACAGAGATTTTTCAGTCGTCATCTCCTGGGTACCGGCAGGGAAGCCGAGGCACGCCGCGTCGTTGCAGAGATGAACAGTCTGCTCGAGGACGACCCTCTTGTCACCGAGACTATCGAAGAACTCGAGTTCGGTATCCGTGCTGAGAACGAAGGTGGCAAGGCGACCTGGGCCGAGTGCTTCTCCACCCGCAACGTACTCTGGAAGCGGACACTGAATGGCATGATGCTCCAATTCATCCAGCAGCTCAACGGACAGAACTTCTACTGTGAGATAACATGGCCTGACTATCAGCTAGGCTGAGACTGACCTAAACTCAAACAGACTACTATGGCGACACGTTCTTCAAGAGCGCTGGAACAAAGTACGTATCTAGACAGTGGTGCCCATGGTCGAACGACTCTGATCATGACAATATCACAGCCTGGACGCATACTCCATCCAGGCGATCCTTGGGGGTGCCTCAGTGGTCGGGACCATACCCGCTCTGTACCTCATCGAGGCTTGGGGACGCCGTAACTCTCTGCTCACCGGCTCGGTCTTGGAAGCGATCTGCTCGCTCATCGCGGGCCTCGTCGGCCACTTCCTGCTCGCCCCCAACGGCACTCCGACCGATCAGCTCACAGCGCGGAACAAGACCGGGGGAAACACACTTATCGCCTTCGCCATCCTGCACGTGTTCTCCTACTCGATCTTCTGGGGCCCGACACCGTGGGTGTACTTGGGCGAGAGCTTCCCCCTGCGCGTCCGTCCGAAAGCCATCGCGCTAGGCAGCGCCACGAGTAAGTGTCCTCTCCATCGGCTACCCGCAGACCGCAGCTGACTACGCGCATCCTCGTAGACTGGCTCTGGAACTTCCTCCTCAGCTTCTTCGCGCCGCGCATCGCCAACGACATCGGACCGCTCATCCTCCTCATCTTCTTCGGCATGCTCGTTTTCGGCTTCGTCTACGTCTACTTCTTCATACCCGAGACCAAGGGCCTCAGTCTGGAGGAAGTCGACGAGATGTACCGGTCCGGAGTGAAGCCGTGGAACTCGCCTGGATGGCGCCCGAGCGAAAAGCATATCCACGACAAAGACACGACCACGACGGAGGTCAGGGAGGTGAGGGAGAAGGGCGACGAGGATGCGTGAGCCTGCTTGTCGCCCAGGATCCTTTCTTGGTCTGGGGTTGTTTCACTCTCGATGCCTTTTTACGACTCAATGTGGCCCTCTGCTTTGGACCGCTACTCATTTTACGACGCCCGTTCATGTTGTATTACTAGTACTCACGCAAACGGATGGATTCCCACGGAAGAACGCACACAGATATTCGATATCACGAGCGTCAAAGCGGCTGTACCCTGCTTCAATTTGTCGACGGCAAGCTCAGTAATGCGTAGACAAGCGTGTGTCTTCCTGAAGAATAAGTCGCGGTGTCAGTGCGGCTAACACTTACAAGACCACTGAATAGACAGACCAACTTCTGCATAATCTGATAGAACGAGATCCTCATGTCGGATGATTGTTTCGGCCTTACCAGGATGTAACGGCACCAGTTCCCTACGAGTCGCGTCTCCGCGCGCTTCTCCCAATGCCGCGATGCGCCAAGCTCGGGACTTCAGCCATCGATCACACTCGGCAACCGCAACCTCTGGCCAGGCCCTCCTGGAGATTGTGATGCACGCGCTGGTGGCCAAGAAGGCGTATTGCAGATACGGAACCGCGAGCATGATCGTAGATGCAGCAGCGGTGAAATCGAAGGTAGCAGGACGTAGTGCGTTGACGAAGTGGTCGTCGGGAAAGCCGCGTGCGGTACTCCGATCGTTACAGTGGAACAGAATGCGAAGATGAGTCAAGACAGGCAATTGCCCGAGGACTACTTGGACGGTTTGCTGTAAGGAGAACGTCAGTCACTCCATGTGCTCGCTCCTGCCATGCTACGCGATCACGTACCCATAATTCATCCCATTGAATGCTAAGGGCATCAGAACGAGGCAAACGGTCATAATCATCATATACCAAACAGAGGGTGAGGTGTGTCAGGGTCGCCGCGGTCTCCGGAGGTATCAATTCCCTCAGCACTTCGAGGCCCTTGGACAATTTGACGTGAAGCTTCAGTCGCGAGGGAGGCCTCATTCCTTGCAAGGTATCCACCACATATTGCTTCGAATGCACATCACAGTCATGGATATTGCAGATGTCGATGGGACATAGGAGGCCAAGGAGGTAGAATGTGGGGGCACCACAAATGAGTTGTTGGAGTCGCGTCCAGGTGCGCCTTTCTTGCGCTTCGCGGTTGCGCTCCCGAAACTCAGGGTAGAACTCGGTGAGGTCAGGAACATGCATCTGCGCGATCTACAGCGTACCGCTCAGGCCAGGGAACAATTCGAGAAGATCGGAGAGGTGAGGAAACCCTTCAATATGACCTAGGAATAGAGAACGTAATGTATGGTATGGCGCGAACCCCAATAACGACCGCCCTTCCCATAGTCGCACAAGGAGGTCCAGCCTAAGGGTTGCGAGGGTCGACTGAAGGTGGGATAGGAGGGTGCTGACAGATGATATAGTCCACATGTTCCCGGGATAGTTCACGACTGTGAGTGACCGTAAGGTGGTGAGCTTGCCGATGGCAGCGACTATCCTGGGGTCGCCTAGACATTTGTAGTTTCGGATGAGGTAGCTCTCGCGCAGAACGAGGGCCACTAAAGAAAATGCGCATGAAAGAATAGAGGATAGGCATTCTATGGGGTCTCCTGCACACGCATCTGGATCGTCAACAAGGGGGTAGACTTCGAGCGCGGTGATATGAGGCAAGCGTGCAGCCGCGTCCGAAAAGACGAAGTCGTGAAATGTGCCAACGGAAGTTGGATTCCTGAGAAATACAGGGCGGCTGCTCAGTAGGTGCATGACAGCAACTGGTCGCAGTGCTGAACAGGTCTCAGAGAACGACAGTATATCGCGATCATCGGTGAGGAAGGTGCACAAAGTGGCGAGGACGTCTAAGTTGAGCGAAGGCGACCCGGCCCCAGGCTCGGCGAGGCCTGGCGTGACCTCCATCTCTCCTGTAAATCGCACGATGAGCTCAACTCACACTTCATGAAATCATTTGGCAGCGTTACCGACTATGAGAGATGGGATCAGCGATGGGGAGGTGGAAAATCTTACCTGCCGCGATCGGATTCGCAAGCAGGCTCAGCAATGTGACCTATGTGACATAACGGCTTGTCACACTACGCAGCGTCTCTCCTTCGTGGACCCCTTCGCGACATAAGCCTCTTCTTTCTTCTTCGCGCGTACACTGACGACAGTATCATAGGCTTCAAGTCCCTGAAGAGCCTCAACAAGTTCTTGGGGGCATTACATGTTCGGCCTCCATCCACATCTTCAGCGAATCTACCGCCCACTAGGTTTTAGACGTTTCAGCAATATGTCTCGCCGGTCGCATCCCTCTTCTCCTGACTCCTCTCCTCGGACGGCCAAAAGGCAAAAACGTGAGCATACGCCACTAAGTCCTGATGACTACAAGGGCGGCTTGATGCTCGCCCCGATGGTCAGGTCTGGCGCCTGTAAGTAATCACCTTCCTAGCACGTCCACTCCCTCACTCAGCCTTTACGCCTTTGAAGTGCCTACTCGTCTGTATGCTCTGAAACACGGTGCAAAACTCGTATGGGGTCCAGAAACTGTCGATAAGGCCATTCTTCATACGACTCGGGTTGTAGATCGTGAGTCCTCCTTCCTATCACCGATGCGTGATGCTTCAGCTCCATTCCACGACTGCAGCCGTGACAGGTGTGGTCGCGTACCACGGTAAATCCAAGCCAATATTCACTTGCCATCCTATCGAGAAGCCTTTCCTCATATACCAAATTGGCTCCGCCGATCCTGAGCTCGCGGTTCAGGCAGCCAAGATGGTCCAGCAGGACGTCGCCGGATTCGACCTCAATTGCGGGTGTCCCAAACCGTTCTCGACGCACTCCGGCATGGGTGCCGCTCTGCTCACAACCCCCGATCTATTGTGCTCTATCCTCACTGCACTGCGGGAAGCGATGCCTCCTGAGATCTCAATATCTGCCAAGATCCGGCTACTTCCCTCGCAAGAGGACACCCTGAAGCTGGTCGAACGCATCGTCAATACTGGCATTTCTTGCCTGACCGTGCATTGCCGGACGCGGAATATGCGGATGAGGGAAAAGGCGGTCATTGAGCGGTTGCGGGAAATCGTTGACTTCGTGGAGAAGATGGGTAAAGGCATTGCAGTCATCGAGAACGGCGACTGCTTGGGGTACGAGGACTCGAAGCGCGTCCGTCAGGTCACAGGTACGTTCACCTTTGCTTCGTGCCATTTCCCTTCGTCATGTATTGGTACGGCGCAGGCGCACATTCAGTTATGATCGCTACTGCGGCAGAGGCCAACCCGACATGCTTCTCGCCCACCCCACTGAAGGACCTCGAGTTGACCTTTGTGCCTGGATATATACGTCTCGTAAGCATTACTATTCATTCTGCCCCTTGGCACCCACCGAAATGTCTTCCGACAGGGTAAATACCTCAACAATCACTGGTCCTCTACGAAGTTCTGCGCGACACAGTTCCAAGGCGCGCACGACAAAGCTAGCCGTACTGACCTCAAGGCTCTTCGCGAGGCCATCGTTCACGCAAAGGGGTATGAGGACATGGAACAATACGTCGCACCATGGACGGGCGAGCAGGAATTCACGGAGATCGTTGAGGCGATCGAGAAGCGCGGCGGCCAGCGCGCGCCACCGATGCCAGTACCATGGGAGGACGTCGTGGTTGCTCCGCTCGAGGCGATTGAAGAGAACGGGCAGCTGCAGGACACGGAGGTAGTCGCGCGTCTGCACGAACCTCGTTCAGATGGGGCAGCCACTGCACCATTCGTTCGGGGCGCTGTGTTGGGTTTGGAGATCCCTTCGGTTGGCGGCGGCGGCGAGACGATCGCTGTTCAGTGAAAATACCTGACGCGCTGCAATCTCTTCGCTCCTCATATTCTATGTTACAATGTAGCGTAATGAGTCACTCTTCACTGTATCAAATAGCACTCAACGCCTCTCCTCTGCGATACTATACGCCTTTGCTTGAACGGTGCGCGCGTGAAGATGGGGTAGCGATAGAATGCGTTCGGCGCCGTGCCGCACTCATCGATCCGAGGCGCAGCAACGTGCGCGCCCCGTAAGGGTGACAGGCATTCCAGAATTCAAGGAACTGTCCACCTCGCATTCATTCCGCGACTTCACCAGACACCTCTTCCTACCTCAACCACCACGATGACCACCCAGCTTTCCGACGCGGAGCTCCAATCCATCCTTGACTTTTCCATTGGCCTCGCGCGTCGCGCGGGCGAGGTGATGCTCGAGGGCTCGGAGAAGATCCGTGAGTCCGGGGCGACGGACGAGAAGAAGAACTCGGTCGACCTCGTTACGGAGTACGATGTCAAGGTCGAGAAGCTTGTCATGGGCGAGCTGGAAAAGAAGTATCCTACGTTCAAGTTGTGAGTGTACCTATCGTGGACACCGCGCGCTCAGTCCAATACTGAGCTCATATTCTGCCTTAAGCATCGGAGAAGAGACCTTCGCAGCTGAAGGAATGAAGCGGCCCGAGATGACAGACGAGCCTACGTTCTGTGTCGACCCCATCGGTACGTCGCCCTTCATCGCGCCCCATATACTACCCTCAGCTTCTCCGCTCTCGCACAGACGGAACGACGAACTTCGTGCACGGCTTCCCGCACGCATGCATCTCCCTCGGACTCATCGTGAACAAACGCCCCGTTCTCGGCGTGATCTACAACCCGTTCCTCGACCAGCTCTACACCGGGCTCAAGGGCCACGGTTCGTTCCTCTCTTCGCCCCACTCCTCGGTGGCCGCGCTCGCCGCCCCGCGCCGCCTGCCCCTCGCGCGCCCACGCCCGCTGCCCTCGCTCGGGCAGGCGCTGATCGGGATCGAGTGGGGATCGGACCGCTCGAAGGAGATGGTGGACAAGAAGGGGGACTCGTTCAAGCTGCTCGCGGGGAACCCGAAAGAGGGCGTCGTTGGGGGAAAGATGGCGCATTCGCTGAGGAGCTATGGAAGTGCCGCATTGAACTATGCGATGGTCGCGCAGGGAGGGTTGGACATGTATTGGTGCGTGCTCAAGTTCCTAGACGCGCCACGACACCGTGATCCTCACTTGTTCCCTGACGCGTCTCGTCCACAGGGAGATCGGGTGCTGGTACGTCCGCGCGCTTCTTAAAATACAGATGCGCACAACCGGCAGGGTTATCGATCGGAGCTAACTGTTCGATGCTTCATATGATAGGCCTTGGGACATCTGCGCTGGAGCCATCATCGCGCAGGAAGCCGGCGGCTTCGTCGCAGGCTCGCACAGCGCGCCGCTAGACAACGACGTCAACGAGGACGTCCTCTGGGGCCGTAAGCACATCGTATTGCGCGCAATAGGTGATACTGAGGTGCGTGAACTTTCCGCAACGCAATGTCCCGACCCTGGTCGTTTTTGACTGAGGGTGGACCGCGCCCTTTATGTGTGCACGCTCTGAAAGTGTCGTTCGCTGATGAGCCTAACTTGCGACGCCATGTATGCGACCTCCTTGTGTGTTAGACGGAGAAGGGCATCGATGCACAAAAGCGCATCATCCGCGAGTTTTATGAGACAGTCGCGGACTTCGACCCGAAGTGAGGCAAAGACAGTTTGAAGAAACAGTGATGTACGACGAGGACAAGAATATAGAAGTTGAACGCGGTCTTGTAACCTACACCTGTACTAGACTGAACAGCTTCGTCAATCTTGAACACTTGTAGATCCCAAGAAAATTTGTAGTACGTATCCAATGTGACGATGGTTCATGACTTATCCTCCTCATTCAGCGACGGCGGCGGTCTCAACAACGGGACGGAACGGGGACCTGATGGTAACTGTAAGTCAACCTTGAGACGTCGAAGTGATGTTTTCCACACAGCTGAGATCCTTGAGCGGAGCTCTGCCACTTCGTTTTCGTGAACGGCATCAAACAAGACATTGTTTACCCTGTTTTATGTCTCTGTCCGGCCGGATGATACACCGGTATACCTCTTATCGACCTCCGAAGACGCGCCCGCATCACGTTCCACTATAGCTCAATATCTTTTGCACAATGGAAGGCGCGGTCCTCATCGCCGCGGGGTCAGCGTGGCGAGCGTGGGTGCTAATAGCCGGACGCTGCCAATACCTGGGGCGCGGGATGAACGTTCAATCGTTGTGGTGTAGGGTTCGCGGCGGCCAGGCTTGTACTTTTGTACTCCTGGAGCTTCGGCATGCCGGAGGAATGAAGAGGGCGCGTAAGTGGCTGGGTCATTTCATGTAAACCAACGCCACTGTGAGCAAGATACAATAGCATTGCTACGGTCAAAGATACGCACTTCACCACGTTCACCCGTACTGGAATCAAGCTTCCATGAGTTTATCCAATATAATACAACGTCGAACGGCTGACTGTACGAGGCGGACATCGTCTTAACTCTAGATTGCAGTGATAATCAGGTCAGAGCGTTCTCCGCCCAAAGGCCAGCAAGACAAGCCATCGGATACTGTTGAAGAGCGAAAGGTTCGTGCGAACATCAGAGTGCTTGCTTCAGGGATTCTTCTCCTGCGGTGCTTGGCACAAAAAGCGTGGACTCCCGAAAGCTTACAGCCAAAAGTTGCGTATTGGTACAGCGATTGAAGCAAAGGTTCCACGTCCGGGTCTCTACATTACGTCAATGATCTCTTTTAGCTTTACTTCGTCCAATATTTCAAAACCGCTCGTCGGTGTGACCTGTGCCAAGCGTACACTTAATAAGCAAGGTCTCCAGAGTGTGCATGCGTGAGTCGTACCTGCGCGAGTTGCACATTGTGGTGATCGAGCTTCTCCTCCATGACCTGCTTCAATACTCGTAGGACAAGTATCTGCGCTTCCTGCAGCGTCATTTGCTACAAGCTTCGCATTAGACTGTAGGACTTTGAGGGGAAAGAGTGTTGACGCACCTTGTGCCACTTGTCTTGCAGTTCGCTCTGCGCCGCTTCCGAACCCGACCCTATCGCCTTAGCGTCATACCGGACAAAGGTGCCAGAGGGATCAGTGTGAAACCTTGGGGAAAGGCGCGCCATAAGATACGGTTCACAGTTAGACGCGCAGTACTCACAATTGTGGCCCGAGCTCGTCGATCCCCGCGATCAAGAGCGCAACACCAAACGGCCGACTCATCATAGCGTCCTCGTCGTGCACACTCTCTCCAAAGCGCAGGGCAAGGTCGCATACGGCTTGCGTGACACTCTCGACCTTGATACGCTCATCGTACGTGAAGGCGTGGTTCTGAGACGTCACTCGTGCATGGTCGATCATGGTGCGGGCATCGGCAGTGAGGCCGGACATGGCGCAGCCGAGGTGGCGGTCAATCTCCATAATCTTTTCAATGGATGAGGACTCGAGGAGGGGGGACTGGACGCGTTTCTCGACGCCGAGGACTACTCCTTCGGGTGTGCGGACGCCGACGGTTGTGGAGCCGAGCTGGGCGAAGGTATGAGTTGTTATAGCCCGACTCAATGGGTTCTAAGTGTTGGTACCTTGATCGCCTCAATGGCATACTCGACTGGTAAGATGCATCAGAACTGGAGGTTCAAGGGGATTAGAAGCTGCGCACCTTGGAAGAGACGACCCTCCGGGGAGAAGGTGTTTACACCACGATCTTGTACCGAACCATGTCAAAAGCAATTAGCTGTGTACATACGCAAGATTCATACCGTATTCCGAGCGAGTCAAGAACATGGCTTATGTGAGGAAGAGGATGAAGGAAGGGAGGAGGAAGACCAGGGCAGGGCTTGCGTACGACTCGGACCGCGTAGGCCATCAATAGACGCCGAACGCGCGTCGCGTCCATCCCGTGACAGCACTGTGACATGGTGTCACGTCCAAGGAGAACGGCGCTCATTCTACAAGATTGGGCGGTAGTTCGGCCGGATTCCGAGCTTCGACCGGAACCCTCTTCTGTGAGCGAGCCTTAACAGTATCCGCGCTGTTGAGTCCTAACATGATGTTGTTGTGGCCTCCGCGGTCTGCTTTTCCACGTCTTCAGCAGCCGCAACAGGTGTGCAGAAGCGGCCAGTGACCCTGTGATTACTTTCATTTTCATAGCGAGCTCACTTCTTCTACAGCGCTTTTCACAACGATATGACTTCTCAAAAACACACTAATGTGAGTTGGAGAGCGGCCTCAGATGCGAGCCCATTCACCACTCATGACACCACCACTGAGAACCTTGAAGACGGCGTGGACTTCCTGCTCATTGCAGTTCCGTAGCGTCAGACGAGGCGGCTGATCATGCTCGCAAACGGTGCGCCTGCTAACCGGCTTGAGCGTGTTTCCTTCGAGAGTGCTTATCGTTTTTGAAACGCCCTGTGAGTGATATGGTAAACGGTGCCTACCTCGCTTCCTTACAGAGCCGCAAGGCATTCGTCTGAGCCAAGGTCTTGATATCGTCTCAATTCCTGTGCAGATGGGCGTCTTGAACTGTCTATAAGTAGTATCAACATGTTTATGGTGGCGTCCCAAAGACAGGTTGCGCGATTTCAGCCTGTAGAGTTTGCCCGCACGGCACCGCGAACGTGCCCAGGACGATCAGGCCGTCTGACGACAAGATTCGTGCCCTCTGGAACACTCCACTCCTCCTCACCTGCGAGAATATCTGCAGGACTGAACCCCATAGCCCGTTCCCAAGAAACGAGTGGACCAGCCATTCCGAACACGCCCTGCATGTGCACAGGGGACGCCCGAGAACCGGGAGGGAGGTTAACAGGAACGTCACGACTATGGTCATAGAAGTCGAGACAGAACTGGATGTAAGCCTCCATGCCGCCGTGCCACATGCGAATCGTGTAATCCGAGTCGTAAATCCTGACGGAAGACAAGTTCCAATCGCCTCGCTAGGGCTTCACCTAGTACGAAACAGCGTGTTTCAGCCAATGATACAACAGTACCGATGCCGCAAGAGGGCAACACAAATGACGTACCCGATCACGCGCATTCCCCCCATACACTTGACCTCTTTCACACACCTGTTGGTGCCGTCGATGAATTGCTGTGGGCCTCGTCGTTGGCCTCTAGAAGGTGATCCTGACTTTCCTGATTGACCTGAGCCTCGGTCCAAGGCTTCCAGCCAGGGAGCAGGTCCATCAAGTATCATCCTCCTTGTAGAACGCTTGGGGACGCGCAGAGGAGGATGGCTGGAACCCAGAACCGCGTGACTGCTGCGCTGATAACCTGGGAGCAGAATAATTGGGGGGAATGAGGGGCCGCGGAACTCATTTCGACCTGATCAGAGGGACTTCACAGCAGAAAGGTTTGCTTACAAGCGACGAGCGAGGCACTCTGGCGACTAGTCAGGAGGATGGGCGGAGACAAAGCAGGGACCGTAGTTGAAGATGGTCGACACGACGCTACCTCGAAAAGCACCCTTATTGAACAGCGACCCTTGAGAGTAAAAAGGCTGCCGCGCTCGAGACCGGCTACATGACAGTCGTTACGATTGACGAAAAGTTGCATGAGGTAAGCCTTTCCGGACAAAAAACATCGAAGAATGAAGAGCAGTTGCCTATTGCCTCCCCTTGGCGTCGAAAGACCTTGAAACTTCTGCTGTGCTGGGTAGTGAATTGGTTGTGTGTGATTGGAAAAAAATTGATGGACTCAAGCACGATGTTAGCAGGAGAATGTCAACACGAGTCTGGTCAAGTTGGCCACTGGGAGAACAGAACGGACTCTGATTCAAACGGTGTCATCACAGGCGCTAATTATATGCTTTGATCATCTACGCGTCTAGATCAATTGAACCGACGACGATCGACTCTGTCCACACCTACAATCCACCACGAACTCCTTGCCCTGCCTGACCGCTCGTATACCCTAATCACTAGCCAAATATCTGATATGGTATGACATCTTGATTCTGCATGAATCTCCTGCATCACATCGTTCATAATCTGTAGTCCAACTGGGAAGTCCGTATCTCGAGCTCGCGCGGCGTGCCCTACTACTACAACACGGAGACCAAGGAATCTTCGTGGGAGGCTCCTGCAGGCCTCACTCAGGAGCAAGTCGCAGCCCTCCCAGGCGCGAAGCAGTACCTCAGTGGTGACAGGCCGGCGCAGGTACGGGCCAGCCACCTCCTCGTCAAGCACCGCGGGAGCAGACGGCCGAGCAGCTGGAAGGAGGTACGTTCTGGATCCGCGCTCGCTGTATGAATCTTCCTGAGCCTCTGCGTTGTCACATAGCAAAACATCACGCGCTCGAAGGAGGAGGCTATTGAGATCCTGAAGGGTTATGCTCACGAGATCGACGGCTCGGCAGAGAAGTTCGCGGAACTCGCCACCGTGCACAGCGACTGCAGTTCGCACTCCAATGGTGGTGACCTCGGTTTCTTCCGCCCTGTACGTCCCAGTTTCTATGTTTCAGAGTGGTACGGGACTCATGAATCACGCATGGTTGTAGGGTCAGATGCAGAAACCGTTTGAGGATGCGACGTATGCCCTGAAGGTGGGCGAGATCAGCGATATCATCAGCACGGACAGCGGAGTCCACCTCATTCTCCGTACGGCTTGATAAGTTGCTGGGAGACGAGTAAGCGAAGCAGTTTGCGATGTAGCTTGTTGTAACATTCACAGAGAACGACCGCACGGTACTAGTACATACACCACAGTACGTATGGAGCTCATGCAGCCAGTAAACAGAGGAGTGTCCGAGAGGAGATAAAACGAGAAAGCAGCATTCCTGGATGCTGTTGGCTCGAAGGCATACACAATATTCATACGCCATTCTGCGCGCGATGTAATTCCCCAGGCGCGTGGATGTCAAGATTCTGGTTGACTTGAACCACAATACGGAGCCTCCCATGCGCCGAATTCCTAAATAGCAGTAGCATGTATTAGCCATAACAGATGTCAGGTTCCGATGCCCGTACTCGAGCGAGGACGTAGGCCCCCAGAAGCTGTGAGCGAAACGAGTCGCACGACGTCATCGCGGGCGCTAGCCATGGGTTGTGCTCATCTCATCTGCGCGTCTATGTGTGTGTAGATCATTTGAACCGAAGGACGGTCTCGATGCCACCACCTGCTGCAATCCGCAGCCCTTCCACAATGGTATAGCATGATCGTTCATGCAGGATTCAACGCATCTCATCGTCAATATATTGTAGCCCAACTGGGAAGTCCGCCTCTCCAGCTCGCGTGGTGTGCCATACTACTACAACTCGGAGACAAGGGAGTCTTCGTGGGAAGCACCCTCAGGCCTCACCCAGGAGGAGATCGTTTCCCTCCCAGGCGCGAAGCAGTACCTCAGTGGTGACAAGCCGGCGCAGGTACGGGCCAGTCACCTCCTCGTCAAGCATCAGGGGAGCAGGCGGCCGAGCAGCTGGAAAGAAGTACGTCTTGCATTCTCGCTCAACTTATGAATTTAGTATCTGCATCATCGCATAGAGAAACATCACGCGCTCTAAGGAAGAGGCCATTGAGATGCTGAAAGGTTATGCTCGCGAAATAAATGGTTCGGCGGAGAAGTTCGCGGAGCTCGCTACCGTGCACAGCGACGACAATTCACATTCCAAGGGTGGCGACCTGGGTTTCTTCCGCCCTGTAAATTCCCGCTTCCAAGTTTCATTTCCGCGCGATAGAGCTGATAAGTATTCTCTGGCTACAGGGTCAGATGCAGAAACCCTTCGAGGAGGCGACGTATGCTCTGAAGGTCGGCGAGATCAGCGATATCGTCAGCACGGATAGTGGTGTCCACCTCATCCTCCGCACTGCATGATCTAACCGAGAGACGAGCAAGCATGTCAGGTTTCCTCTGATACCGCTTGTCCTGATATCCACAGAAAGGTCGCAAACTACGTGTACAAAATTGTCCGTACTGTTACCAGTCAGGTATCCAAAAAGAAGGGAAATAACGAAGAAGCTGAGTAAGCACACGGCCCGCTACGCGCACCTCGTCTAGAACAGGTCATGCGGCTTCAGCTCCTCATACTTGTTCGGTTGGACATCTTTGCGTGTCTTCTCCGCGACCGCCCTGTCGAAGTCCCACGAGGCCTTGAGACCAACGCGCTACTCGGGGATTCAATAACAGCAAATTTGTCCTAGGATCAATAAGCCTACCTCGAAAAAGTCTTTGATCTGCCAATTCTCGCATTGGTCGAGATCTGTGCCCTTGTCTCGCAGAGCACGGTACGACCTCTCCATAGCAATCGCAGCAGGAACTGCATCATACGTCGGTGAGTTGTCAACCACGTACAACTGCTGAAAGTCTGCGTACTAAATCCCGTGCAAGGGTAGATGGCGAGCTTGAATCCCAAACGCTTGCAGTCCTCCACGGTGTAGTTGCCGGTCAGTCCGTTGGGCAAGACGTTGATCATGACAGGATGAGGCGCAAGCGCCTTCACCAATCTCTCTGCTTCCTCCTTCGTCCGCGGGCTCTCCATGAAAGCGACGTCCGCTCCAGCCGCCAGCGCCGCCTTCAGCCTGCACCGCGGCACTCGCGTCAGGACCCTTGCGTTCTCTCTGACGTTTGATGCAGAAACGCACCTTTTCACGCCTTCCTCGAAGGCCTCTTCTCCAGCGTTCTCTCCTCCAAACGTTGTCGCATTACGCGCGTCGGTCCGCGCAATGATGATAAAGTCCGGGTTTTGCCTCGCCGTCACCGCAGCGACGATTCGTTCCAAGTACGTCTCAATATCGACCACGTCTTTCCCCACCAGCTGCCCGCACCGCTTCGGGAACGTCTGATCCTCGATGTGGCATCCCGCCACACCCGCGGCCTCCAGCAGCGCGATGGTGCGCGCGACATTCAGCGGGCCGCCAAAGCCGGTGTCGGCGTCGGCGATGACGGGGGCGTCCGCAATGCCGACCATCATGCGTGCGACGTCTGCGAGCTCGTTGCTGGTGATGACTGACAGATCGGGCTCGCCGATCGCGGAGCCGGAGGTGCCACTTCCGGCGAGGTAGAGCGCATCAAAGCCGGCAGCGTTTGCGATATGGGCGGAGATGCCGTCGAAGACTCCCGGACAGATTACGCAGTCCCCTACGACGATCAGTCGTCCTTGTAAGCAACGCTCTTTGGTGTCACACCTGTGTGCTACTTACTTTCCTTCATGAGCTGCCGGAGCTTCTTCGCCTGGCCGATCTTGTACGAGACAGGGAGAGACATGTTGATCAATGAGCTGAAGATATTGCAAGGCTTAGTTTGGGAAAGGTCAATGGCAATACGTGCGTTCATACTCTCTTGGATCTCTCTTATGTCGCTCGTAGGACTCTATGCAGGCCTTGTGTGGGGAGTTGCGTCACCATGACATACATGTGTGGTGGCGCCTCCAACGAGATGGAAGGCTAAATATAGGCATATACCATGGCATGCCTACGACATGCGCAGTAGCTGGTAGTGCGCTGATGAGGTAATGAGAGGTGGGCTCAAAATGGAGTTCATGAGAATACACGGGAATCCAATAGCGGCTCCTGAGCGCTGCAACCTACTAGTAAGGCCTGAAGGCCTTGATCATATAGCTATACAAGAGTATTGAGTCCCAGGAATCGTGGTAATATCCCATCTTAATTACTTCCGAAATCTGCGATTGCTTCTGCAATGATTAGTGGAAGTTGAAGCTTGCCAGTGGATGACGTCGGCGTCGAGTATGAATCCGGCAACTGCCGATCCCCAGCGCCGATCCAGGTTTGTTCGTGCCATCGGTAGACGCCTGTAGTGGTATTCAACGGGAAGCCGGCATACCCGGGCCGCACACCTTGATCGACATCTTGTGGCCACAGCTCTACCTTCTCCTGCTGACTTGGGGCTGTGTACCCCAAGTATGTACTTGGTGAAGGAGACGAGACGGAGGATACACCACGACGGCAGTGCGCGGAACATCGTCACGCAACCAGCCGAACATTGGCATGTACCACGTTGTGCGGTTCATCACGCTGTTTGCTCAATTGAAGTCAATTCAGATGTCAGACACCACAATGAGGCGAGACTCGTCGATGCTCGCAATCACGGACGGATAGCAAATGACAGGGCCCATGTGTCTATCGTGCCATATCCAGGTAGCGGAGCCTCCGACAAGGCTCTGTGGTTCCGTCGAAGGTAGCAAGCACATCTGCTGGCATTTCGAGAACCGGACATGGACGCGATAGTTGATGGAGGCCGACGGGATTGACGGCGTCGAGGTTGTGCCAAACGGTTAGGTACGTTACGTTGAGTCCATTCGCTTCCAATAATATTCAATAGGAAGCGCGCTACGAAAGTTCACAGTGAGCGACTTCCTATGGAACTATTCCGGGATAGACTTATCTTAGACTTTGCCTGGCCAAAGCGAGGATGGCGTTCCGAAGGTTTTTGCTGTGCTGCATATATCGAACGAACTAAAAGTCACCTCAGTAGTGGATCACTTTAACTACCCCACTCAGGCGCGCCGCCCAGACATATTCGGTGCTCGATAAACATACTATGAAACTATGGTCAAATTCCAGTGTTTCCAAGTGACGATGTGGGAAGAATGCATTCGTGGAACTGTCCCAAGAGGGGCCCTGCTCTGGGCGATTCAAATAACCGCAAGATCAGTGCGAAGGCAGATGTTCTAGCGAATTGATCATATTACAAAATTGTACATTGCACCGCGTACTGCTGATAGGTTTACACCTATGTACATCATCTCCTCCGGCGGTGCTCCTCCGTCGCCGCCGCCGCCACCACCCTGCTCCTTGTCCTTGCGAGTCGCCCTCACGACGTCATCGACGCGGAGCAGCACGCGTACGGCTTCGATAGCAGTTATGAGAGTTTGGACCTGCATATTGAAGTTGCAGCGCGCTGCACAACGATTCTTGTATCCACAATGAGATAGAGAGGTAGCATATGTTCGGTATCGATAATTGCGAGTCCGAGAATCCTTGTATATCAACCCGCCTACCGAGAAGACCGGCCCCGCCGTGACCTCTTCCGGGCTCCACTGCCAGTGCTGCTAGACCCTGGGTCGCTTCTCCTCCCCTTCTTCTTCCCTGTCGTCGGCACATCGGGGGCGACGGCCCAGTCGGGGTTGTCAAGACTGTGCCGCCTCTGTTGTCGTTCGTCGTGTGCGTCGGCGTGTTCGTCCTGGGGCGCGACTGCCCAGTCAGGGCGTTCTGGAGTGTGCACGCGCGGGCGCGAGCGTCCCGACGACACAGAAGAGGGAGGCGAGGGAAGGTCGCCGTCCACGATGTCCGTAGCAGCTGGAACAAGAATGGCCGATGCCCAATGGCTCCGACTGAGGAGCACAGCAGAAGCAGCGATGTGGTCTTGCTCAGCATGCTCTGGGGCTGCCGTCTGGACGATTGGGGACGGCCCCTTACGGATCTCTACAGGCCACGAGGGACGTGGTGTATGAGACTCTTCGAGGGCGACAGACGTCCAGTCATCATCGGCATCGAGCCCAATTATGGTCTCAGAGGTCGAGTCAAGGTCTCCCGCAGTCCCTGCCCCCGGAGAGAGTAATGAAGTTTGTAGAACATACGAAGCGAGGAGAGGATCAGTGCCCGGTTCTGAAGCCTCCGAAATCGATGTTGCTGTTGGCTCAAAGTCACGTAATCCCAGTAACCCCAGGTCGTGAGGCTTGTCAACGGCGACAGGCATGAATGCGGAAGCAGTGGTTTCGCAAGGGTCAACGTCATCCCCTGGCTCAGAACATGGCCTCTCGCGAGGTGCGTCGTTGCTGTGAGCAGCGAGGAGAAAAGGAGGATCCAACGAGACTGACTCCGCGACGGCCTCAGAGGGGACTGTGAGGGGCGTTCCCTCCATGAACAAGCCATGCGGCGGTTCTTCCCGATGTTGAGAAGACGGGCCATCGTCGGGTATGGGCTCTGCTATAGGACGCGCGGCCCCCTGATCGTCTTCATGGTCCGACATCTCTGGAAACTTGAAGTCACCAAGCTGGACATCAGAAGGCTTATTGACCGGTGAGCCAGCGACGTCATTATCTGTAAGCAGCGCATCCGAGACGCGTTTCGCTGTTCCATATGCTTCGGAGATAGCCACCGCGGCCTCACCGTCATCGCTAGTAGTGGGCGTAGCTGTGGTCTCTGACAGCGCAGAAGGGTCGCCGATGACTTCTCGGCGGTGGACATCATCACTCGCCGCCACAGACGTCTGGTGGTCGACAACGGGCTTGCCAAGCGCGAAGACGTCAGCTATCTCAGTGGCTGAAGTGCGGTCCTGGATAGGAAGTGAGATCTTCTCATCGCGTGAGGATATGCAAAAACGATGTAGAGGGTCACACGTACGGATGAATTCACCACAGCAGATATAACAAGGCGCGGACTGTCGATCTCGTCTACAATATCGGCCTCAGAGTTACGCCGTGTTTGTGGGGCCTTCTGAGTAGGGGAAGGGCTGAGCAATGAAGGCACGAGTCTGAAACGATTGGAAGACATAAAGAAGGCATACTGGACAGCATGTGTTCAAGATGAGTATTGTAAGTGTACGGGATTAGGAACAAGACATACAGAGATCGTCAGAGCGGTGGCAAGCACCAAGAATATCGTCACGTATATGTCTCCCATATCCGCTGCTCCAAGGATATCTTCAAACTTGCGTTTATACATCTCGAAGCTGCGGAAGCTCCAGAGCTGTTCGATCGCTTCGGCCGTGGTGCGTATGCAACTGCAGTGGGGTGCTGATGACTAGGAAATGAGCAAGATGGTGGGTATCCAGAAAGATGTGAGGTATAGAGCGAGCGAGCGGGGCCGCTCGTCGCAGCCAAAGCAACGACCAAGAGGTCTGAAGCCAAGGGGCTCTTGGTCGCAGGACATCAACTCGTGCGGGCGCTAGCTATTCATTCTGTCATATAGCCTCCCACCACATGCACCTCCACTGTTGTGCTTTGGCTGCTCCGTTTGGCATATGCCGTACGACGCCGTATATTCCACGTTAGACCACAGAGGTTTCAAAGCTTTACGAATCGCGACAGAGGCTATCGCAGAGCAGGCTCTTTATTGTAGCCGCCCAACGGGCGTCCGGTCACACCTAAGTTAATCTATGAAGGTCGACGTCGCCGCTGCCATCCCTGCGTTTCCCGCTCCCAACTGCAGTATCTGTCCAACGCGTTGGCTGAAGCTGAAGGCCCGTACGGGCAGCGCTCTCACCGGTCTGCCACAATCATCAAGGCACTCCTGTCAACGTGGAGCTCTATAATGCGCCTTAAGCCGATGTCGTCAGCCCAGCCCCTCCTCACATATCGTCCCAAAATCCTCGGCTAGCCTCCCATCTAGTACGACACGCACACGGTGACTGCACGGCGTTGCGCAGCCATACGTCTTTTGAACTCAGGCAGTCATGAGCCTAGAATCCTCGCTAGAGCTCTTCTGTGCTGTGCTTGTCTCGGTCTTTTACTCTGCCATATCCTATCTACTGGGTCGCCCCTTCTTCGGCCACAGGTTGTCCATCGGACGCCTCACACTCTGGACAGCTCGCGAAGTGCACTTCGAAGCCGCCCTGTTCAGCAAGACCTACCGATGCTCGTTCAGAATCCCCTTGATCGCATGGTCCTTCCACATTCCGCACTCTGTCGAGCCCCGTTGGTGCACGATCACTTTGCACGACATCTTCTACAACTCTCCCACCGGCGACATCTCAATCGGGCGGTTCGAACTCGTATTATGGTTCTTCCCAGTGTTCTTTCGACAAAGCACGCAGCCGTGGGGTAACGTCGTCATCGACGATTTCCGCGTCCTCGTCTTCAAGAGCATACAGACCCCATACTATATTCACCGCCTGCGTGAGAAGCTCGTCAGCGCGCTCCTGACCGGCGACGTCATGCGTTGTGACATGGCTCGCACGACGTGTCGCTTTTCCGGTGTGTCCGACGTTCCCGAGGCAGAGCCGTGGTGGTCCAAGGAGCAGGGCTCCTGTGCTGAGGAGCGTTGGCTCCATCGACCCCGGGACGAGGCCAGGCACGCGTTGGGAGAAGCGGAGGACTGCGCAGAGGACGAAGAGTTAGAGGAATCCATGCACGACAGAGAGGACCACGCTGGACATGAGGAAGAGGATGGCGTATGCGAGGAGAACGAGCCAGGCAAAAAGGCGAACGAGTTAGTTTCAGACGGCCGCTACACGACCGTACCGATGCGGACGTCCGACAAGGACGAGATGTGCTTCAGTTGGCTATCTCGACAACTGCATATCTACAACTGCGACAGCCGCGTGTATGCCTTCGGCTCCATCGATGCTCAGGTGCGTCGCAGCTGGTCAGAGGACCGCGGGAGCTTCGTTATGAACGCCGAAGAGCTACGATGGGTACATGTACCCTATCCTTTTGAGATGGTATCACCTCGAGGTGGATTAACGTGGGTGATTCGCACAACTCTTACTGCAGGAGCCATGGCTGACATCGATTGATGGCATAGTCAACTGTTCTCTTCCCTCTTCCACTTTCCACTGGACTTGATGCGGATAATACACAGTCCATCTACTAGTGTCAATCTCCTCATCACGCGTCTTGATGTCAGATTCGATGCTTTCCGAGTAAGTGATGGTCCTTGGTATGATTATGCTCAGTTTTCTCACCGACGTGCGTGTTACAGATCCGTGACGCCGAGATGCTCAGGCAAGGTCTACTCCTGCTCCGAGAGAAAGCGAAGGCAAACAACATCCATTGGAACGATCTCTTCGTCGATGCCCTCGCATACGTTCTTACACTCTGACATTAGTCGTCATGTACTTACGAGCCTTCCAAGATGCCTCCTGTACTTTGATCCGTGCAGCTTCGTTGTCTACCAGCCTCCGATATCACACGTGTTCCGCTGCCTTTCACGGACTCGCAACCTGATTGTATCGCTAGTTCTTCCGGATCTTTGATCGCTCATTACCATTATACCTTTGAAACACGATATCCGATGTACACGCGTACGATCTTGATCTAGCCATGGGACGAATACATTCGTCATACAACATACGTTCACAACCCCAATCTGATGAAAGAGGCCACAACCACCTTTCTTTCTATACATGAGGACCGCCAGAGCGTCGCCTCTGAGGGCATCGAGGCCTGATGGAAAGTGAGTCCCTTCTAGCCCGCTTGAAGCTCGCCGTGACCTCCCTGGAGGCAGATTGGAAGTCAGACTCGCTCCAAGTTCGCTTGGCGCCAAGTCGCGAGCCTCCCCGCGTCGACGGGCGAACACGCACAGCATCCTGCCGCTTGTCGACCCTCGGCCAGACCTTCCTGATCGCCCTCATGCACACTCCGACCATCCTGTCGTGGTCCCGGAGCGGCGACAAAACAGGGTTGGGCGATGGGAATGAGTGCGGCAAGTCCACCTTGCACCCGTCTAGAGCATCTTCGTGTACGGGGACCCCGTCGTAGTCTGGGAGAGTCGACTGAGCACCACAGTACAGGCCGCCGGCAAAGATGTCAGAACATGATGTCCTGTACGTTTCGGGGCCGGGAAGCACGACATGTTCGTAGTGCGCCTTGCATAGTTCGGATAGCTCTGCAAGTAGTTGCGCCATAGGATGGTCCCCGGGAAGGCCCTTGACGAACGGCGTTCCGTTCTGCACCTTCTCCAGCTTGAGTGGACTGCCCTTCGGTGGGCCGGCGTCCGACTGGATTACGGTATCGTATAAGGACTGGACGAGATGCGCTACCTCCGCGCTAGACATGCCGGTGGGGAGGTGCCTGAGTGCGCAGTAGTTGAGGACGTGCATGAACGACTCGAGGTCGTCTGCGAGCTCATGCTGCTTCTCGGGGTGCTCCTGTAAGCGGGCAGACATGCATGGCCAAGAAGTCTGTACAGCGAATTAGCTCGCACTCACCATCTAAGATGCGACTATGATTCACTCACCGAACGATACGTCGGAGCACCGCCGGGGTCTATCTGCTTCCAGGACATTGCTATGTCCCAGTTTGAGAGTTGATCGATGGTCCCATTGGGAGTAGGAAGGCCCAGGTCGTCAGAATCGTAGATGAGAATACTCTCGATGCTGATGTCCCGGTGGAGGATGCCGCACTGTCTCCAAGCTTTGGAGTGAGCTTGAGGCAAGGAGGAAGGTGAGCGACGGTCTGATTAGAGGGATCAAGAGATGGTCACGCACCTACAAGAGCCCATGTGACGGCTTTCACGAGCTCGTAAGAATTCGTGAAGTCCTCCAGAGGTCGACAGATCTCTTTGAAGATCAGTCTGCAATGGGCGAGGGGTGGGATGAGGTTCGACAGCTCGTTGAAGGACGTGGTTTGCTGACGTTGACCATCAAAGGTCACGTCGCCTCCTCCGAGCAGCGTCGGGATGTATAGTTCTCCGGAGGCCATTTCCCTGAGCTGCAGGTACGTCTCATACTCTGACTGCACCTCACTCGAATCCGGTCGCCAGCCATCCTTGATGAAGACGACCTGCTGGTTCGTCATGTCATACGCCACGAAGCCCTTCGCGACCTTCCCCACGAGAGAAGAGCTCTGAGAAGCAGGCTTCCCGACCAGGAAGTGTCGCGATGAAGGAGAGGTCCCACGACGAACAGCGGCACCATCGGAAGAGAACGGTGCGTCGATCGTGAGCAAGTAGATAGGCCATCCGTCAGCCACAGCGTTGCCTAGGCCCCGTGCAGTGGCAGAGTCCGGATGGAAACGATTATGCAGCTCCCGGAATGTCGTCGCTTGCTCTTCCGATGCAAGAGTGGCTGTAGGGTCGTAGCCCCTCTCGGCCCGACCCATGCGAGACAGACGCGAGAGGAAAGAACCAATGAGTTGCGGACACGCGATGTAATCGAACTCCTCGGACACGACCGCCCCCGATCTGTCGAAGCGAAGGAAGCGCGCGCAGTCGTAGGTGAAGTGGATCATGAAGAGGGATTGACGGTGTTGGCGGTTGAAGATCTCTGTTGCATACTCAACGAGTTGCCCTCTGTTCAGGCAACGCTCTCTGCCGGTGGGAAGAAAGGCACTTCGGGGAGTGTGGCGTGAGGAAAATGGGGCGGCTTTGGGGTCGAACTTCACTTCGATGAGGACCTCCGCCCATGCCCAGGCGACCCGGGTGTCCAGCGAAGAGTGTTCTTGTGAAGTCGCGCAGATGTGTTCCATAGGGTATATCCCCATGTCAGGACGAAGGGCAGTTGAAAGATTGTCGCTAGAGCTTGACATTGAAATGTCAGGGAGGCGATCAGTCGTTAGTGTCTCGTACCCGGCCCAACCGACGACCCTCAGACAATCGTTCAAGCCGGTGCGCTGTCCACAATGTCAGAATGTACCGACACAGCGAAGCTTGATGTACGCACCAGACCATGATACATGCCCTGCTCCCTACTTTCAAGATCGACAGCGAATGGTTGGAAGCTGATACCTGTCGGGTCCGCGCCCGACATGTAGGTTCTGAACCAGTGTTCCAGCGGCACCTCTCGCCAACGCATCTCGCGATCCAGCTCTATTCGTCGCTGGTCGTGCTTGATCGCCCCGGAGACATCCGAGAGGGTCCGGGAACGCTGTACGCGAGCAGAAGCACCCTCAGTTGAAGGATCGCCTTCATTGTACATTGTAGGTCCGCACGTTGGCGGACCCATAGATGTAGTCATACGACTTGGGCTGGATCGAGATGAGGAGAATCGAGTCAGGTAGACGTTTGCGGCGTGCGACATTCCAATGGAGAAACCTGGAGTGCCTTATATACGAGGGTGCTTGACATGCATGGGTTCGGGGATCTGTGGGTCCTATCAGTCCTTGGATCGCACAAGCTCTTCCAAGTGCGATGGATCCACGATGATGCTGCAGCTGTGGGTACAAACGCTCGCCGCGAGTATGCGACTCAATGGGAAGACAGCAGCTATTTGACATAGAAGCCTTCCTAGGCTGACTGACATTGCCATGTATGCCTCGTGTACAGTCACATAAGAGTCATTTCATGAGTAACCTCCGGTATCGGAGTGGCACGAAGCATGAGTACATACCTATAGAAGCTCCTAGAACGAAAGCGAAGCTTGTCAAAGAGAAGAGCTTGCACCGCATTCACATTGCAGCCACGCGCAAAAGCGCTCAAAGCGGAGAACGCAACAACGTGAAACGCACGGCATATCAGATTCGCAAATACAACCAGAATCCCAAGATTGAACCAGGTGTCTCGTGTCCAATGCCTATAGGTCCGCAGCTATTCGACAGCTCAACGGCATCGCGCCGCTAAAAACAACTACAGGAGGCTATTTTACATAGCCTCACCAGGCTGCAATGTATGAAACGAACGCAGGCGATCAGTATCACGCAATCACCAGGGGTTCTGCGCCGACAAGACACTCACCTCCACATCAACACTGAGCATCGACAACCTCTCACCTTCCGGCGCCGCCTCCAACTTCTCATCAGGCTTCGGGTCTGCGAAAGGGTCCCTAGGTAGCGCCTTCGCAGCCGGCTGTGCAGCGGTAGCAACCGCGGAAGCAGGGACGGGGTCCACGAAGGGATCAAGGATGGCATCGGCGCTCAAGCTTGAGTGCGCGCCGCCAGGCCCGGGGACGACGATACTTGTGCCGGTCGTGCTGACCATCGTCTCGCGCATGCGTGGCTGCGGCTGCGGCGAAACAGGCGACCCACTGGGCATGGGACTGATAGGCATGCCGCTTGTGCGCGCGGAGGACGTCGAGATGATGCTCGGGAAGAGCTCGCTGCGGCTCGCATCTCCGGCACTGGCGTAGCTCATGCTAACAGGCATCGGGAGCATGGGCGGGCCGGAAGGAGTGCGTACAGAGGGTTCCGGGGAGTCGGGGACGATGGGGGGCGGGTAGGGGAAGGTCTCGGAGGAAACGCCGCCGCCCATCCAGTTGGCGCGTCTGGAGGCGCGCCGGCGGAAGAAGAGGAAGACGATAAGACCAATGAGTGCGAGGCCGCTTAGCACCCCACCAATGATACCTCCCATCATTGCGCTATTGCTTTTGGTACTACAAAATGAATTACTACGAACCTAGTAAATGCAAAACAATGACTATGCAACGTACGCAGAGACGGAAGAGACGCTCGTCGTTGGGGTGATCTTCGTGGTCGTAGTAAACGTTCCGGTGCTAGTACTGGTAGAGAAGACTACGGATGTCTTCCCATCGGCCGAGACGGTCGACACCGGAGTGATTGTAACCTGAACGCTCGTGAAGGTGGACGTGACTGTAGTGGGTATGGCAGGTGATGAAGGCGCCCGATCCTGCGCAGCGCTGTATATTCGACGTCAACACACCGAAGATGAAGAGCTCGCGAGACTAACCTAGCACTTGTAGCAGTCTGACCCGCACCAGCGCCCCCTCCGTCGATAGCAGAGACAGAGCTTCCCGGCTGCTCGACAGAATTCGTGCTGCTGCTACCGTTGGAGCTAGTCGTGTCGATGGTCCCGCTCCCTGTCACCCTCCCATTCCCGCTCGCACCGCCGTTGCCACCTGCCCCGTTGTTGCCAGTGCCGTCGCTCGAGTTGTTGGCAGGCCCGGTGCTGTTGGTACCCGAGTTAGTGCCACTGCCAGAGTCGGAACTATCATTCCCAGTTCCGTTGTTATTGCCGCCGGCGGTGCCGCTAGCCTTACTGCTGCCACCCGACGTGGCTGAAGGGGTAGCGGCCCCGCCGCTCTGAGTGGTATTGGCTGTAGTAGTAGGTGACGAGGCAGGTGCGACTGACGTGCTAGTCGTGTTGCCAGAGCCGGCGCCGGGCGACGCTGAACCCGCAGGCTGTGTGCTGCTCTCACTCTGACTTGCTGACCCCGTATCCTTATTGCTGCTGCTCTTAGTCGTAGATGTAGGTGCAGAAGCGAAAGCAGATGTAGTAGAGTCTTGGGAACCGCTGATTTGACAGCTTATGGGAAATACAATTGATAGAAGAGAAGAAACGGGCTTACATTGCAGTAGGAGTCAAGCCACCGCCACTACTCGTAGCTTCTACAGAGCCAGTGGATGAAGAAGTGGCGGAGGACGTAGCGTTCGCAGATGTAGACGTCTGGGCGGCATCAGATGATGATGCTGGCGAAGACGTCGCCTGCGCCGACGCTGATGTTGCTTCAGTATTTCTGCGTGTGACAAATCGTGGACATACGCACTACTGCTGGGGTCCTGCGTCGCGATCGCAGTGGGAACCAGCACGATAGTACTCGAGGTCGTCGATGTGGTAGGCGCGGCCGCGGACGACTGTGAGGAAGCTGGCAAAGTGGCGGATACCACACCAGAGGACTCTTCCGAGGTCGCTGCAGCCTGAGAGGTCGATGAAGCCGCAGCCGTAACAGGATCTTCAGAGGCAATGGCAGTAGGTATCAGGACCGAAATAGCCGAAGTAGTCGGATCCTCAGAGCCAATTGCTGTGGGAACCGCAACCGTCGTAGGCGTAATCGAGTTGGGTGCGGGGCCTGTAGACGACGATGCCGGAGCTGATGTCGGGGCCGGAGAAGACGTCGACGCAGACGCATGGCTACTGCTCGACGTAGCATTCGTCAAGGGCGCTGCTGAGTTGCTAGACGAAGACTCCGGTGCGGACGACGACGGAGCGGCAGAGCTACTGATCATGACGCTTGTCAAAGAAGAAAGGGAAGCTGAGGAAGCAGCACTTGAAGACGAAGACGAAGTCGTAACAGAAGAAGCTGCAGGGCTAGCCTGCGCTATAAACGCAGAGCATTATGAGAACACGCACTCAGTAGGCAGAACAACCGCGACGAGACAAGCTCTTGAGATACCAGTCAGCATACGTGCATCTGAAAGGATGGCCCACGTACCACCTGAGGAAGAAGGGGCGTCCTCGCGCCTCAAGGCGCGAGCCCTCAGAAAAGGAGGCATAACGAAAGAATGGGAAGGAAGAGAAAGAGGCCCAGCACTCTGCTCGTGGGCAAGGAGCAAAGCGCATGGCAAGCCACAAACGGATGGACTGCTTGATATGGGACGGGATGGGAGCGTACTCAGGACTGATGGTCGTCGAGGCGGCGGTGATGGTGCAGAGACGGTGAATGTACACAACTGTTGGCGCACCGCAATTCAGTGATACCGTCTTCGGATTCCGTGCCACAACATCTGCGTTTGCGTGGCTGCTATTGACAAGAACACAACATCAGGTTTGAGGACGTGCGAGCACAAGGGACACACATATGTGATGAATTAGACGGATGCAAAGAAGAGGTCTCTCCAAGCGTCCGACGACAGTTCCTGTCTACCGGCAACCGCCGGCGCCGGAACATACCAAATCATTTTCATGCCCATTTCCCAATTCAGGCAGCTATACGAGCTTTGACCATGTTGACTCTTTAAATCAGCAGACCCAATGCCTTAACTCTGGACTAAGAGGGCTTTGAAATTCTGCGAGGGCTGCAGGCAAACACCAGTGACGTCGTATCAAACAGCGAAATTGATGCTGCAGGCGCCCATTCGGCGCTCGATGCCAGATGAGCCCCTGAATTCCAAAAAGGGCAGACGTCTGTTTGGACCGCGCTTGTCTGTTTCGACGTTCTATGCACGCTATACTCGGGCAGGACGGAAAACGATGGTATTGGGCGCGCGCTACGGAAGCTGCGCGGGACCACCGAGTCCGTGTCGCCACCGCTCTCTCGCGCGACCGGTGGGCCGAGCTCAAGCCGGCGGAAGGCGAATGTACCTGATACATGAGACGTAGCTAAGCGAGACCAAAAATGGGGCAGCGGAAGGGTGGGTGCAAAAACGAAAGCTCGAGGAGCGCGAGCTCCCGAAGGGCGAGGGGACGAGGATCCTGGGCTGCGAGCCCTTAACCTATATACTACTAGAGACAAAGCAGATGTAAAGCGGCGAGGGGGTGGCACGAGTTACGCTGTCATAGACCCTGGACAATAATCATTGTCCAAAACACCTTTTGATTCCCCATGTGCATTTGAAATGTTCATTGAGCTCCTGATCTCCCGATGCATGACTCCACGGGCCTCTTGTCGGGTTCTTGGGCCGCTATTTCCATTGATG